TCTAGAAGGGTCTGGGTATGTCCAAATACCTTAATTTTCATAAGCAAAGTTTGAAAAGGCATGTTTATTACCACAACATTTTCTACTTTGAAAAATATTAAAATAAATGTTGTTGGCAGAATGCAAAGTATAGAAAATAAAGTCACCCAAGATCTTGATGATGATGAGGAGGGTAAGCAGATGTAGTGATTTTTATGGGCTCTTGATCTCAGGATGATTTATCAAAAATTAGGGCAGAATGCTGGGCATGGTGGCACACTGCTATAACCACTGTAATTCCAACACTCTGGGGGGCTGAGGCAGGAGTATTGAAAGTTCATCTCTACCCTGGTTAATTTAACAACTTAGCAAGATCTTGTCTCAAAATAAAAAATTAAAAAGGCATAGCATGTAGATTGATGCAAAGACCTAGATCTAATCCTCAGTACAGTTAAAAAAAATCATTAAAAAAAAAAAAGGACAGATACTGGGTGTGGTAGTACATTCTTATAATCCCAGCTATATTCAGGATGCTGAGGCAGGAGATCATGAGTTCAAGACCAGCCTGGGGAATTTAGCTAGATCTTGTTTCAAAATAAAAAACAAGGGATTTTGGGGATGTAGCTTAGTGATAGAACACTTGCCTAGTGTGCCTGAGAGCCTGGGTTCAATCTCCAGGAATGTAAAAAAAAAAAATTCTTTTCATTTTAAGAATTAAAAAGAAAACAAGCTTTTAGCTTCATTTCCCCTACGTTTTCTTTCAAAGTTTCAAAGTTTTAGGTCTTTGATCCATTTTGAATTGAAATTTTTATTAGGGTAAACAGTAAGGATCTAGTTTCAATCTTCTGTAAGATTTCCCAGAACCATTTGTTAAAGAGGCTGTCTTTTCTCCAGTGTGTGTTTTTGGCTTCTTTGTCCAGAGGCATATGTCTGTAGTTGTGTGGGTTTGTGTCTGTATCCTCTGTTTGATTCCATTGGTCTATGCTGTCTATTTTTGTGCCAGTACCATGCTGTTTTTATTACTATAGCTTTGTAATATAATTTACATTTGGGCATTGTGATTTCTCCAGCATTACTCTTTTCGCTTAAGATTGCTTTGCTCTCTGAAGATTGCTTAATTTTGCTATTCTGGGTCTTTTGTGTTTATGTATGAATTTTAGGATTGTTTTTTCTAATTCCATGAAGAATGCCATTGGTATCTTGATGGGGACTGCATTGAATCTGTAGATCTCTTTTGGTAGTATGTCCATTTAACAATATTATTCTGCCAATCCATGAACATGAGCGGTCTTTTCATCTTGTGTGTTCTTTAATTTCTTCAGTGTTCTGAAATTTTCATTGTAGAGGTCCTGTATGGTACATCCTTGGGTAGATTGATCCCTATGTATTTTATTTTATTTGAAGCTATTGTGACTGGAATTGTTTTCTTGATTTCTTTCTCAGCTAGTCCATTATTAATATATCGATCCATTGATGTTTTTTAAAGTCTTCTTGAATAAGACTCCCAGTAGCACAAGAAATAATAGCAAGAATCCACAAATGGAGCTATATTAAGTTAAAAAGTTTCTATACAGCAAAGGAAATAACTAAGAATGAAGAGATAGTCTACAGAATGGGAAAAAGTCTTTACCAGGTACTTTTCTGGCAGAGGATTAATATCTAGAATATGTAAAGAACTCAGAAAACTTAATACCAAGACATCAATAGCCTAACTGTGTCAGTTACTTTTCTCTCGTTGCTGAGACAGAATACCAGATACCCAAAGTTAGAGGAGAAGGAGTTTATTTGGCCTACAGTTCATAGAGGTTTCTGTGCATAATCGACTGGCTCCAAAGCAGAGTGGCAGAGGGGCACCAGTTAGTTCATGGCAGCAGAACACACCCAAAACAACAAAAGACGTAATAGCAGAGGGGCATCTCAGAAGAGAAACAGTTCATCACACCCACACAGTAGCAAAAGCAACAAGGGGCCTTACAAGTGTGTTTCTGCCCATTATCCCATCCAGACTACCGAGATTAGGGCGATGCCAAACCAGTCACTCGCACGTAGTGGTTTAGTAATCCTAGCATCACACATTTCCATCAGAAAAGACTGCGTGAAGCTTTGGGGGGACATCTAGACACAAGCCACAACACCAACCAATAAATGGGCAAATGAATCGAACACATTATTTCTCAAACAAACAAAAAATACACATAGCCTGTAAGTACATATATGAAAAAATGTTCAACATCTTTAGCCATTAAATTCCATCTCACCCCAGTCACAATGGCTGTCAATCAAGAATACAAAAAAACTCAATATATTAATACTAGCAAGGATGCTGAGAGAAAGTAACACTTCTACACTGATAGCAGGAATGTAAGTTACTACAACCATTAATGAAAACAGTATGGAGGTTCCTCAAAGAACTAAAAATGGAGCTACCCTTTGGCCCAGTGTAACACTCCTTGCTATGCACCAGAACCAAGTAAAGTCAGCATACTTTAAATTAAAATCAGCATATGGTAGAGATCCCTACATACCCATGTTTATTGAGGCACAGTTCACAATAGCCAAGATAGGGAATCGGCCTAGATGCCCATCAGCAGATGAATGGATAGAGAAAATGTGGCATCTTTATACAATGGAATGTTATTCAACCACAAGGAGGAAATCAATTCTGTCATTTGCAAGAAAATAAATAGATCTGAAGACCATTGTGGTGAACAAAATAAGGCAGAGTGAGACAAATATCACACATTCTCCTCAAATGTGGAATCTTAAAAAAAGAATATAGGGCTGGGGATTTAGCTCAGTGGTTCCATTGCCTGTCTGGGAAGCACAAGGTCCCAAGTTCGATCCTTGGGACCAAAAAAAAAAAAGAATGTAAAAGGGAGACTTTCATTGGACATGAGGAAGAGAAGGAAATAAGAGGGAGAGAAGGGGGTGTAGGAGTGAATAATAGGGGGATGGACATGAGAAAAATATATCTGTTAAAACCCCTCCTAAAATGTAAAACTGGGTGGAGTCAGGGCAAGAAAGTGTGATGGGGGTGTATTAAAATGATCAAAGTATGTTATATGCAAATATGAATGTAATCTGTATAACCAGTAAAAAAAAAGAATGGGGGGTAAATGAGGGCAAAGTTTGTAGGTTTACCCATAGAGGATTGGGCATAAGAAATGGACCTAACATTTTATTCCTGATTCTCAAGATACCAATCTTAAGTGTGGGGTTTGGGGGATAGTCTGTGCCCTTGGGGGCCACTTGCTGTCTCTCCTCTGTGGCTTCCCTGAACTGGTCTTTCTATCTAAGGCTCCTCTCTCTGGTTGCCCAGCACTGCAACCAGCTGCATTCTCTTTGGGCATCAGTGTGGCGGTGACCCTGCCGAGGCTTGCTAAGTCTGTGTGCGTTTCTAGCCCCAGGAAAACGAGGGCCAAGAGTAGATATTGTGTTCCTACAACCCTGTCTAGACTCAGATGTCCTGGCCCAGCTGCCAGGCACCCAGCACCACCGCAGTAGGACTGAAACCAGTAGAAGTTTTAGCAAGTACTAGCTCTGGGGTAATCTTTGTCATAAGGTACCTATAAAACAGTTTTTTTGTGGCAGTTTTCTTAAAATATTTTTTTTCTCTAATGCCTTGTTTATAGATTGTATTTTCTTCTCAAGTTTTTTTTTTTTTTTTTAAATCTGATTGTGAAGTAATCCATGTTTACCAAAGGAGATAGAAAAAATTTAAGTAGAAGAAAAAAGTCCATCATTCCTCTGGTCTAGAATAGCACAGATCATGCCTAATCTTTCCAAACTTTTTATGTCTATATATACATTTTAAAACAAATTTGGAGTAATCCTGTATCTGCATCTGAAATTTTTTGTCCTTAATATTTTATTGGAATAATTTCCTTTCTGCTTATTAAACCTTTTTGCAAGGCAGTTTTTGTGGCTCTGTAGTATTCCATCATGTAGATTACCACAGTGTTTACCACTCTCCATTGTTGGATGTTGGCTGCTTCCAAATTTCCTATTATACTTAACCCTGATGAATGCCCTCTTTTTGTGCATTTCTGATTATTTATCAGGCATTCTAATGATGTGGTTGTGTGTCCATGATACACACTGCTTTTTTCTATTTCAGGAGAGTTGTGTCAGTTCACTTGCCTGACCCCTGTATGTAAGGGCGCTTGTTTCCCCACATCCTTACCAACACCAACACTGGCGTTTCTTGTTTAGTGGAAAATGGTAGTCTCTGAGGTGTTCTCCTTCTCCCTCTCCCTTTCTCTCTTCCTCCCCTCCCCCCATCCCTGTCGCTGCAGCACTGGGGATTGAACATAAGATCTTGCACACACTGAGCAAACCCTCTACTTCTGCATAGTACCTCCACCCTCCAGGTTTCTGAGGGAACTTGGAGGTGAAAGTCTAAATGTCTTCTCCAGATCTCTCTTTGTGGGGTGTGTGCTCCTAGGGCTGCAGTACAGGGACTTAGCCCTGCCCTCCATTCCCACCCCTCCCTGGTGTTTCCTGCCCTGTGATAAGGAGAAATACTTTACTCAGGAGTGTTCTGGGATTGCTAAAGAATTTATGAAAGGTGGGCTTTCTTAGGAAGTGCTTTGGCCCTGGAAGTCTGTCCTCTAAAACATGCCACTCATTAAAGTAGGTTCTTCTCCTAGCATCTAATATGGCAAAGAGGAGACCCAGCAGGCCGACAGTATTTAAGAAGGATGAATAAATCTGCCTTTTGAATCCAAACCAAGAAGCCTGTCTCGGGACTATGGCGCCTCCCTCCAGTGCTCTGGATTTTTAAGTTCTGTGGGAATCTGACCTTTTGGTTTGTGTCTCTGTCTCCCCTCTACCATATCACAGTCAGAAAAGAAGTGAAATCCAGGCTTGACAGGTAGAGTTTTTTCATTTCCCCTGACAGCACACCTCTTGACCTCCATCTTCTTGCCAATGATTTTTTAAATCCTAAATGATTTGGCAATAATTGCTCCTCCTGGCGTGATTATTGCCCTTCACCGATAGTAAATCTGTGAATTCCCCAGGGTCCTGAGCGCATTTTGGTATGCGAAGCCCACAAGCTGGCCCAGACGTCGCTGCGCCAACACAGCTGCACAGCCCCGGCTCCTCATGTCCTCGCCCTGGATCCCTGCCACCATCGTTGCAGAGAAGCTCCCTGCAGCTTTGCCTTGATGCAAGCATTGGTTTTCAGGCTGAATCACAGTGCTGTTCCCTGGGTAACAGCTCTTCCTCCCAGGGACCAGTTTTTTCTGGAGCCATCTTCCTGGGCCACATCGACAAATGCCCACCTTGGGATGTCCTGAGTTTCCTTCTGGAAGAGGAGAATTCAGCAGTATAGATACGCACATACACATTTTATTTTTGTCAGAGCACGGAAAGTGTTAGACATGACATGTAATATGTGAAAGGCTCGTACCATTTCCAAGGAACCCACTAGCACAGTGGTCCCAAGCTCTGGCAGTGGAGAACACAGTCCTGAATTGGAGCATCTTGGATGTTCACAGGCTGACCTGATGATTTCAGGAAAAGTCCTTCAAAAGGGTGACTTAGAGAACACCTGAGGCTGGACCACAAGTTGCCCACCAGTCTCAATTTCAGGAGAGCTCAAGAATCACATGTGAGTGGGACCCTTCAGTACTGTCCCACTTCAGGGAACAGGTGCTGCTGGCCAGTTCTTCCTTGGTGACTTGAAATTTCCAAATAGCTGTGCTGGGCCAGGGATTTAGCTCAGTGGTTCCACCGCCTGCTTTGCAAGTGCAAGGGCCCAAGTTCAACCCCCATTACCCCCCCCCCGCAAAAAAACACAAAACCAAATAGCTGTGCAGAAGTTTAATAGTCACAGAAAATCCCATTCATTTGTGCTTGGCAGTATTCTTCCAATGCCAGTCATCCTAGAAAGAAAATTGCAGCTTTTACCATATCTAGCCACTGGCTCTGTTATTTAGGGTTAGGGTTTCTTTAAGCTGACTTTTTTTTTTTTTACTTAAATAAATGCATTTTCAAAGGAACTTTTGATCATTATGGTAAATGGAAGGCCAGAATTTCTCACTATAATTGATCTAAAAATAATTAGCACATAATTACATTAAGATATTTCTGGCCTTATTCCACTGGAACATATAACATCCTTTGGGAAACATGGGCATTAGGTGGAGGAAAGATCAGAGAAAATTAGCGAGATGTATAGAGTACAGAATAGTCACTGGGAAGAAATGCAACTTACTTCAAGTTCCTCACCTGTCTCATAGTGGCTTGTGGCTACTGGCAGTTGGCAGAATTCTCGGCATCAGCAGACACCAGTTACCTCCCAGCTTTCTCCCAGTACCACCGTCTCCCTGGCTTCTATGGGAGGGGCTCTCCAGCCTCTGTGGGTGATTAAATGTAGGCTGATTGTAAGAAAAGCTGTTGCTTAGCCTGACAAGCTCCCTGGCTGGGAGCCAGCACCAGCTCTGCCTTTCCTTTTCTCCACAGCTTCTGGGATTCCTCCAGTTGTGTTTGCAAGGACAGTGGCTTGAGGCTTATGTACCTGTACTTTTTGGAGGTCAGTACATGGCCTGCCCTGGTGAGTGGTGAGTGAATGGGTAGTTAGCACACATCTAGTGTCCCCTTGGGAATACTCCCATGCTTCCTCTGTGCCCCGCGTACCAATTCATCACTCTTTCCCTTCAGATCAAAGCTCAAAACATCATCTCTGGGAAGCCTTTCCTGACCACCATCAAGCCCAGTAGGTAGGCCTCACATCCACCTGTGCTTTACCACAGGTCTCATTATATGTCTGTGAAATTATATGATTAATGTCTGCTTTCAGCACTAGACTGTGAGCTCCACAAGGATGGGAACCATGTCTGTCTGACTCATACCTTGTCCTCGCTGCCTGGCCCCACACCTTAGCTCACAGGGCTCAGTACTAAGGTGTCAAGTACCTGGAGCAAAGAGCATCTGTCTTAAAGTATGTGAACTTTAAGTCCTCCAGCATTATCAAATTAGAGTTTTCTCAACAAAACATTTCCTAATATTTTTCCTTTTAATGTGTTTGGATAACTTATTATCCAGGCATTGTGGTAGATGCTTAACAAGTATGATTTTACTTAAACACCACTCCTGTTACACATATTTTACAGGTTAGAGTAGAAGCTTGCCCCAGCCAGTCTGAGACTGGGCTCCATCTGTCCATTCTGTTTCTGTTTCCGTGCTCCCTCATCTCCCATCCCCCAACTGGAAAGCAAATTCCATTTGGACCCTGTCTTCATAGGTCAAGGTAAAATAGATGGGCCCACAGTCAATTAAGATTCCCCTGTCTTGTGAGTGTTTTATGATCATTATTTTTGGGTTTTTTTCTTGGTATCGGTTAATGTGTTTATTCATCGGTTAACCCTACCTCACATCTGCATTCAGAGAGGAAACTTGTGAAGCAACTGTCAGTTTTAAAGCATCTGTCCCCATCTATCAATATTGGGTACTCACTATGTCATGGGAGTCCAGTTTCTCAGTCTGGCCATGACCGAGGATATTCCTGATTGGTCTTGAGAGCAGATCTGCAAGATGATTGATGTATAAAGTGCTAGTCAACCTTCCACCAGCAGAATCTTCTGAAAGTATTTTAAAGCTTTTAATTAAATGCTTATGGAAGGGGAATGCGAGTGACTTTTTTCCCTTGAAAAATACGTGGGTTTATATAGAAAGATGAATAAAATTAACCAATAATATTAATACGGGTGAATAAGGTAAAAGAAGACCCACAAATGATTAAGGCCTTGGCAACACTGGTGTGGATTATTCTAATCCCCCAGTCTTCATTGGTTGTGCTGCATGTGGTCTCCAGACCACAGGGAACCTTGATTCAGAGTGTGATCCACTCATTTGATCACCAGGCAATTAATTGCCAGTCATCAGCCTGGAGTCCCTGCCCTGAGGGCTCATGCATCTCCAGAGGAGGGAGCCAAGTGGAGTCTGTCCTAATGCAGTGTGATGACAGCAAGGCCCGGACTATCACTGAATACTTAGGAAGGGCCTTGTAACCCAGCTTGGGTTAAGCACACGTGGGGTCCCCTGAGCTGCATCTGGAAAGCCTGGAGAAATTGGCTGGTAGGAGGGGAAGCAACTGCTATGAGTTACTGCTGCTGATGCTCTCTGTTGGATGCACTTTTCCATCTCATCATTTCTCTTTTGCCCAAGTCTTCCTTCCTTGTTTCTTATAAGGTGGAATCTGTTGAAGAATTTTTATAGTTTTGGATGTTTGAAACATCTTTATTTCACCAGTGCTTTTTGAAAGGTATTTTTACTGGATATAGAATTCTAGGTGGGTAGTTTTTTCTTTTAGTACTTTTTTTTCACTTTATTAAAACACTGAGTTTATTTCACAGGTTTATTTTTGTCTCCCCACCATCTCCATGTCTGACCACCACTACTACTATGTCCTATCATAACATCCATACATCCTTAAAACTAAGCAAAGGGTGGAGTTCCATCTTTAAAAACTAAACAGGGATTTTGGACAGCACATTCTTGGCAATGGAACCTGGACAACATTTATCAAACACAGTAGGAAAAGTTCTCACTTTGCATTATAAAAAGGATAGCCAGATATCAACTATTATGGAAATGAAATAAGACAGAAAATTTTAACCAACTGTTTAAGTTGTTTTCTTAAAGAGGCTTCCTCCACTGCCAGAGATCTTGAACGGCCTCCTGGTCAGTCATCCGGAAGCAATGCTTCACATAATTGGCGAACTTGGCTTCCATTTTGCAAAGAGAACCACCCTTTTCTATACTTGCTTGCATTTTTGCTTTAATATCTTCTACAGATCTAGGTCCTTTGGGTGTTTTAGGAGTCTGTTTTCTTTTTGAAGGATGCTTGACCTTTTAATATTGGTGTTGATGGTTTTGAGTCTTTTCCATTCTCGTTTGATTTTTGTGCATTTTTCCTGGAGTGTCTCATATCAATTTTTTCACTGGAGCTTTCTCTCCAGTTTCCTCATCATCAAAATCATCATTGTCGTCGTCGTCTTCATCATCATCGTCTTCTTCAGCAGCTAGTTTTACTTTTTTCTGTGGATCCTTGCTACCACTTCCAGGGGCAGATCGTTTTCCATGTATACCTAAGGGTTTTACATCCTCTTCCTCCTCCTCATCTGATTCTGCATCTTCCTCCACAGCTGCTAAGTGCTGTCCACTAAGATGCACAGGCCCTGAACCACACTTCAACCTTAAGACAACAGGTGGTGTCATTTCAAAGCCCCCAAGGGAACCCGTCGGCTGTAAAGGCATTTTCAGAGTTGCCAGTGTCACTTTAATTGGACTGGCTTCGTAATTCATTGCTTGTGCTTCGACAGTGTGCAATTCATCCTTTGCACCGGCCCCTAAACTGGCCATTCTTAAAGACAGCTGGTGCTCGTTTTTGTCATTATCCACCTTAAAGTGGTAGTCTTTGTGGGCCTTTCGTTCACAACCGAAAAGCTAGTTTTGGGGCCTCAGGGGGCTCATGTCCATATCCATCGAATCTTCCATGGAGTGGCGGTACCATGCACTTAGGCAGGAGAGAACACGGATGGAAATAAACAGCTACTACCCGGAGAGAGCAGATGTGCAGTATAGAATCATGCCAGGGGCTCTTTCAGTACTTTAAAGATGGTGAGTGCCTCAGTCTCCTCGCATGTAGTTTTCTAACAAATTGAGTATCTTTATTTCTCCCTATGTAATACTCCCACCTGCTGTTTTAAAATTTTTCCTTGTTCATTAGTTTCTCTCTATCCCCTTCCCTCCGCCTTCTTTCCCTCTTTCTCCCCTTCCCTTTCTGCTTGCCTCCCTCCCTTCTCCCGAATATATACATTTCCCCCCAAGGACCGGTGGTTGAACCCAGAACTCACACATTGCTAGGCAAGTGCTCTAGCCCTGAACTATATTCCTAACCCCATTTATTTTATTTTGAAATTTTCCTGGAGGGTATGTTTGTGTCACATAATGGATGCATTGATCATGGGGAGTTGGTACACATACATATTGTATCTTAATCCTTTTTACTTCCCATTCTTTTCCCCTCCTACTCCTTTACTTTTTATTTTGAGCCAGTCTTGCAAAGTTGCCCAGGCAAGACAGGAGCTCTCAGTCCTCCTGCTTTAACCTCCCAAGTATCTGGGATTGTAGGTGTGCATCACTGGGGCTGGCTCGTCATACATTTTAAGCAGTTTAGCTTTCATGTGCCTTGATAAGGTTGTTTTCATATTTCTTGTGCTTGGTGTTCATTAGGATTTGGGATCTGTGGATTTATAATTTTATAATTTTTGTTGAGTTTTGAAAATTTTCAGCTATTATTTCTTCAAATGTCTTTTTCTCCTGTCTTGCCTCACTTTCAGGGACTCCAGTTAACATATATATGAGGTCCCTTGAAGTTGTACCATCATTTACTGTAACTCTAAAAAGTTTTTTCTTCTCTCTGTTTTACTTGGATAGCTTCTATTGTTGTATTTTCAATTGTATTAGTCTTTTCCTCTACAATGTCTACTCTGGCATTCATCTCACCCAATTTTTTTTTTTTTTTCTTACTGGGGATTGAACTTGGGTCCTTGTGCTTGCAAGGCAGGCAGGCAGCAGAACCACTGAGCTAAATCCCCAGCCCTCACTCAATATATTTTTGAATCCTGGCAGTTTAGTTTCACCTCTAGAAGCTTTGGATTTTTTCTTCTGTCTTTTATTTCTCTGTTTAACTTCTGGAACATACATAGTATAACTACGAGCACTGATTTAATCCTCTTATCTGCTAATTCTCAGATCTGTGTCATTTCAGGATTAGTTTTGATCGATAGATTTTCCCCTTTGTTGTGATAATGTTCCTTTGTTGCATGTCTGATAATTTTTTATTGAATGTGATTATAAATTTTACCTTTTCAGGTGTTAGATATGACCACAAATATGTTTGGGTTTTGTTCTGGTATACCACTAAATTACTTGAAAACAGTTTGATCCTTCTAGATCTTGCTTTTTAAGACTTTGGAGGCAGCACCTGAACAGGGTTTAGTCTAGGATTAATTATCGCCCTATCAGTGAAGCAGGATGCTTCTGTGAATTGTAAAATTTTCCAGTCTGGCTGGTGGGGACAGGCTCAACCCTGTATGAGGTCTAGGCTTGCTTTCTTTCATTGTTTCAGTGTGCTTCTTTCCCAGGCCTTGGGCATTTTCTTACTCAAGTGTGTTGATCATTAGTTTACTGGGTACCCGAGGGGACTTTCTGTGTACCCCTACAGTTCTTTCTGTGCAATTCTCTCTGACCTTCTGTCTTGTGAACTCATGATGCCTTAGTCTCCGCAGAATCTTGGCTTCATCGCCTCGATATGGGGGCAGTGTGTCTTAGATATGAAGTATCCCCCAAAGGCTTACATAGTGAGGTCTTGATCCCCAATGCTGCAGTATTCAGAGGTGAGGCCTTGAGAGGTGACTGGATCATGAGAGCACTTTGTCATTGCATTAATTCATTGATGAGTTCATAGCTGAATGAGTATTAGGAGGTGGTCTCCAGTTGGAGGAAGCAGGTCACTGGGGGTATGCTTTTGAAGGATCTATCCTGTCTCCAGACCCTTCCTCTCTCTCTCTCTCTGGCTCTATCTATCATTCTGCTTCCTGACTAGCATGAGGTAGGTAGCTTTTCTCTGCCATGATGTGTCTCCCTTGTGCTCAGCCAAGCATGGACTGAATCCTCTGAAACTGTGAGCAGAGGTTTGCCTTTAAGGTATACCAGGTATTTTGTCCTAGCAATGAAAAGCTTAACTAGTACTACAAATGTGTCTGCTGGTCTCTACCCAGGGTTTCCCTCTGTATTAGTCAGCTCATAATGACTAAGAAAATAATAGACAGGTTAAGGTAAGCAACAGAAATTTACATTCTCATAGTTCTGAGGGCTAGAATTCTGAGATCAAGGTGTCAGCACATTTATTTTCTGGTGAGGGTACTGTTTGGGGCTTGTAGACGGTAGTCGTCTTAGTTTTGTATTGCCGTAACAGAATACCTGACATGGCCACTTTATAAAGAAGCTTATATAGGTCACAGTTTAGGAGACTACAAGTCCAAGATTTGGCAGCACCATCTGTTCCACCTCTGATGAGCGCACTCTGGCTGTAGCACAACACAGTGGAGAAGCATTTGTGTATGGAAGGAGCCAAGTTCTTTCTAGTAGTCTTGCTGTATAACTATCAGCTCTCTCCCTAATTTAATCCATGAAAGCAGCATCAGTCCCTTCTGAGGGTGGATCCCCCGTGACCCAGCACTTCTTCCCACCTCTTTTAGATTCTACCATTTCGACACCACTGTGCTAGGCCCCAAGCTTCCAGCAAAAGAGCCCTTTGGGGAATAAACTATATCCAAACTGAAGTGGCTGCCTTCTTGCTTGTGGCTTTTCCTCTGTGCTCGTGTGGGGAGATCAATGGCATCTGTTCTTTCTCTAACAAGGACCCCTGTCTCATTGCGTCTGGGCCCTATTCTTATGACCTCTTTGCAATCTTAACTACCTCCTTAGAGTCCCGATCTCCAAATATAGTCACACTCAAGGATAGGGCTTTAATGCATGACTTCAAGGGATGTGTCTCAGTGTGTAGCATCCTCCTTTATCTGCAGTCTGGAAACTCTGAAGGCAGCAAGCTGGACCAATCCCCAGACTCCCCTCTCCTATGTCACAGAAATCACTGTCTACCCTTGCTTAATGTCTTGAAAACTATTGACTTCTAAGAGTGTCTGATTCCTGCTTGCTTCAACTGGGGGAGTCTATCATGAGGCTGCTTTTGAAGTGATATCCAGACTGTGAGCATTTCCTCTGTGTATATTTTGCTGTTGTATATTGTTTTGGTTTTGACAAATAATATCTTCACTATCGAAAGCAAAACCCTTTTAAACTGTAGATTACAAAGATTTGCCAGGGATTTAATCAGCTTTCACAGAACCAAGGGCTTTCAGAATCACCAGGCTACAGAGTATTCAGCATTAGGTAAAGTGCAGCCTGTGCTCAGATAAAGGCTTGGTGCACCAAATCATTTTGACGCCTGCTGATGGATTTCAAAGTGTGCCAATATATACCATTCAGAGCCACAGCCCAAGGGGGCAGCAGGAGATATATTCAAGGTGGGTTGACTTTTAATCAATACAATGACAATATTACCTTGTTTAATTTGTGTGATGGTGGTTTTAAACATCAAATCAAGCAGTTTATTATGTCAACGAAGATGAAGGAACACAGAAATAAAATTTTCCTGACATTACTTCTGAGCATATTTCACTGCCCTGACAGGCCATCATGATCGGGGATGATATTGTGGGTGATGTTGGAGGTGCCCAGCGGTGTGGAATGAGAGCGCTGCAGGTGCGCACCGGCAAGTTCAGGTCAGTGCCCATGGCTGGGTAATTTGTTTACTCTTCTCTGTAGAGTCCTGGGGAGACCATGTTCTCATTTTTATGTTTTCCAAAACAAAAAGGGCTTTTCTTTCTAAATACATGAGCTGTGTCTTAGTCACTTTCCCATCGCTAGGATAAAACATCCAACACCCACAACCTAAAGGAGAGCGTTTTAAAATTTTTAATTGTTTTAGGTTGCTTTGTTTTGTTGTATGACCAGCATTGCAAGGAAGGGCTGACTTTGCATATAGGCAGGAAGGCAGTTCCTACACAGGAGAGGTTTATCTTGTTTCACAGTTTCAGTCCATGGTTGGCTGCCTCCAAGGCAAAAAAGCATGGTGGAAGGGCCTGGAGGAGGCAATATGTTCACTGCATGCTAGTCAGAAAGCAGAGAATACACCCTTCCAGGCCATACTCTCAGCGAACCTCCTCCTCCAACTTGGCCCATCTCCTAACAGCGCATTCAACTGTGAACTCATCAATGGATGAATCTGCTGATGAATACAGCAACCCCAGGATCCATTTGTCCCCTAAATACATGAGACATTTGGAAGGCATTTAGCTCTAAAGCATAACATACCATTATGCAGACACCCATTGTCTTGCCTGTTACCGACTTCAAAGGAAGAGTCTGACCTTTCTAGCAGAAATCACATTTATTCCTGGCTTGATGTCCAGTGTAAGGCAGAGTCTTGATACAGGGCCTGGGTTTTGAAACAGATATGAATAGGTGTGAAATGCAAAGATTAAAAAAAAAAAAAAGCTGTTTTAGGTGCTGTCTGCTAGGGAGTGGGTGTGCTCCAGGGAGTGGCACTGTGCTCAGAGGCTTCACTGTGGTGGAGGTCATAGGTTATGGCCCCTGCTAGCTGCCTCTTTCTCCTTTTGCTCTGCCTTCTCTAGTTCATGAGAGGCAGAGAACCTGAAGACAACAGACTGGTGCTAGGGATGCTCAGGAATGGGGTCTCCGTCTGAAAAAACAGCGTGCGTTCTGTTTGCTGGGTCAGAAGTCTGCCCAGCCCTGAACATGTCATCATGGGCACCTGCTGAAGGTCAACACTTGTGGATATGTGAAGCTGCCCAGGCTTTAGTTCACCTGGCCCTTGAGAATGTCTTAGATATCAGAGCATTGTCTTC